TTCCACAGTCACTTTAAACTTAACAACCTTTATAACACACATTGATTCACACACTTTATTTACGGTGCCTACTGTTCGCTTGACTCAATTATCTCTATATTTAATCTATCTGCATATCTATATCTCACTGGCTTTATTTGCCAGGCTTATATACTAAAAAAGAGGGCGCCTGGCAAGCACTCGGACATTCACGAGGTTCCTCAATAAGTCATGATCCTTCGAGTAACTCCAGCTCGCATGCTCCCACCATCGCGTGACTTCCGCTGTCGTAACACTGCCCCTTCCTTAGTATTGTTTGTCCCGAACAATAGCCACTCGAACATTCACGAGGTTCCTCGATAAGTCATGATCCTGCTAGAAACTCCAGCTCGCATGCTCCCAGCATCGCGTGACTTCCACTGTCATAACACTGCCCCTTCCTTGGTATTGTTTGTCCCGAATAATAGCCACTTACATTAAACCAATAGATAATTAACAATAACTTAAGTAAATGTACAGAATTTACAAACACAAAATTAAAATACAACAAAGTCTCTTAATTTTACAGGATGTTTCTTCTTTAGTATACTAGTCTCCGTCTCATTGGATTCTACTTCATGTGGGGTTCATCTGCTCCATCAGAAAATGTCCCATTATCAGTAGCAGTCATATCAGTGGTAGTAACTTCATTAACGGCTTCACTGTTTTCCTTCTCAAAACCAGGTAGAGTTTCTTCTTCGACAGTGGTTTTTTCAGGTGACACATCTTCAGCTGCATCATTTGATAACGCCAAAGCCTGTTGGCATGCACCACCTTTGGTTTACCTCGCCGACCACATTTTATTTGGAAAGTCACGTCTGAAAGACGATTCACTATGTCATATGGGCCTTCCCATGGAGAAGACTACTTAGGAGACTCCCCTTTGGTCTTCCTGGGATTATACAACCACACCTTGTCTCCTGGTACAAAGCTGACTTCAGTAGATCTCTTATCATAACATAGCTTCATGGAATCAGCAGACATTTTCAAGTTTGAATACACTTCATGGTGAATATCATTCATCCTTTCGGATAACACTTTCAGAAACTTTCACACATTTTCAGAC